AAATTTCGGCAGGATATCATATTATTGAATTTGCTCGAAGTAAGTATCAGTAATATTTAAAATAAAACGAAAATAAGAACTTGACAGATTAATCAGATTATAGCTACATTGATAATACCTCCTAGTGAGACTTATTCACATGGATGCACATTTTATGTTACACACTTCCCTTACACTAACAACACTTCGTAAATTCTATAGAAGCATTCACGATGTAATCCCACTCATACCAGAAAAATGAAGAATAAAATCACGTTACAAAGTAACTAAATCACAAATGAATCACGCGCGACTAAATTAAGAAACCGAGAAATGTCCAGTGCTTAGAAATAAGAGTTTTGGAGGGTTTATGAATTGAATATACAATGAAGTTTTGACGACAAACGATAACAGCATTATATTGCAATTAGCAAATTACAATGCTTTGATCGCCGGTCCCCTGCTTCGTTCGATCGGTACGATTCTTTCACCAGGTGCTGGCAGGGCAAGTCTTGGTGCTGTAATGGTGAGAACACCGTCGGACGACAAACTTGGCTTCACATGACCAATATCATATCCCTGTGGAAGCATGTATCGACGCACGAAATGCCTCGACACATAGCCGTGCTGGTCCTGTTTCTCTTCGTGTTTACCCTCAACGGTGATGTATTTATCGTCCGTCCTAACCGTGATTTCTTCTGGTGCGAATTGCTGTACGTCTACGATCACTTGGTATTTGTTTTGGTCTCGTTCGACGGTCGCCTGACCACCAACTTCTTGTATTTGATCCATCATGTTCTTCCATGGGCGGAAAAATTCCTTGAAAGACGGCAGTGATGGTGGTGGCAAAAAGTCATCTCTGGTACTCAAACGTTTGAAATGTTCCTCCATTTCCCGGTGGTAGCGGTCCATGTCCTCCCACCAGTTTCGGAAAAGGTCTCTCGATACCAAAGCCATTTCTACCTAAAAATGTTAAATGCAAATTTTATATACGTGCCAAAAGAAATTTTATGAATACAAAAATTTTTGGCACAGGAAGTCATATTGATAAAAAGAAATCACATTTGTTCGAACGTTCTTGAATTACAAAAAATTGTTGACATATTTCAAAACGTTGATTCAACGTTCGTACATACAACGTTATTATAACGTACTGTATAAATCGATAATTCCGTATCATTTTATCATGAAAAAGTTCGCAATGTTGACCAGGAAATACTATTGGAACTTTTTACGGTATGAAAGCAAAACTACAAGGAGCTCAAACTATTCTTGGACACACAATATGGTCGCGAAACGTTGCGCCAACGTTGTATACATATCTTTCGTGACATTTTTAATATTTCAAATAAAGTACATACGGTACACACGACAAATAATACGAAATATTTAAATAAGGAAAATAATAATATAAATTCAATCAGTAATTATAATCATTAATAACTCGATTGTAACTACGTTAAATGAAACTCCGTATTAGTAAATTACGTACCTTTCTCTTTAATAAACTTCAAACTCCTTTTACAGAGAATTACAGAGAATTACAGAGAATTAAAAGCACTTGCTTATATAGAATCGCTTTGAAATCGCTCGAATTTCTAGCTTCGAATTTCGCTTGGTGACTGACTGCGAAATCAGCGATCGCTAGTATATATTTGGCGGGCTATTCGAGATTTTTCTTCCGACGCATGCGCTTACACATACCATTCCGAACTTCCTCGCGCAGGAATGGAAGACACGAAAGCTGTCCAATCGTATTTACTAGAATGGACTGGTAGCCTTCGTCGACCGAATCAATGCATCTTCTAAGCCCGCGACTGCTTCTGGTTCGTTCGAGTAACTTCCGTTACTATCCCCGATGCGATTTAAACTGTTCGAGCCAAATAATGCAAAGCCTTCTGCAACAATAAAAACTTCATCTTTTTTAGAATCATGTTCACAAAGCAAAGAATCTTCCAAGTATTTGAAAATAAGTCTTAAATCATGTATTTCTTTCTTCGTACGAACACTACAGATAAAGATAATCGTTTTTCAAGTTATTTAAGTCAGAATGATTTTCAAAAATGTTAAGTAATATTTAAAATATTTAAGTTTTATTCTGAGCTTGGTTTTGATGACGGATTTTTTAATTATGTCGTTGTTACGCACATAGATGATATCATAGTGACGGAAGAATAATTTTCATGCAAATATAGTACCTCGCCAATGTTTATACCGAATGTTACATAACATACAAATATATACATACACATATGATGCATGTTGCATTAAATTTTAAAGTTGTCTATAAGAAATAAATTAATTCCTTCCTATCAATAAACTTCTACTAAATTTCTTAATAATTATTTGATTATTTGGTTGAATTAAATTATTTATAGCGTTTTCAATTATTTGTAAATTCGACTACAATAATCGTTATAAATTCTTCGTCAATGAGTAATGTCAGCAAATATCAGAGATAAATTCGGGATTGATGATGCATTGAAATGCAAGCGTAACATTTGCTCTTCTAAAAATACTGTTTACCGGGGACTTTTAATTGATGACGAATGAATTTATTCTAAGACATTTCGGCATAGGCGGCGATTCTATGGAAGCGCAACGAGGAAAACAATCATATGTCTATTAGTTAGCACAAATAAAGGAACAAATATGTAACATCGTACATTCTATTCCGAATTTGACTTTTGAACCTGCAGATAAATGTTGTACGAAATTGTGGCCTGCATAGTAGCGGTCTCTTTGCCCTTCCCAAGAACTCGATGCAGTTAAAAAATTGCATTATCAATATGTAATTTTACAGTTTTTTACCTTACCGTAAAATGGTACGGATCGATCATTTGATCTTGCACAAGCGCGCGACATTTCAAATTCCTGCAACGAAAACTACATACATCTAAGTAATTGAAGCGAAAAGTAGTCATTTTCCATAAAAGAAAAATATTAAGAAGTAACAAGAAGATCTTTAGATGTTACATGTAAAAAGATATGAAAAATAAAACTGAAGTAACAGGAAATAATAGAGAAAATGTAGACAATGAACAAATTAATCTGTTATAAGTCCTATTGATTTTTTTTTCATTTAATGTTTACTGTACATATTTTACATTTAATACCATATCGTTGCATTTAACGTAACTGTTGGAATGGTTCGATTATACACTTTTCTGACATCCGTCCATCGTTATGCACAGGTGTTCAGCGGATACAAAACTTTGTATGGATTGAGTATGCCATTTGGGTCCATCACCTTTTTTAATTCCTGCATGAGCTTAATCTCGGACGGAGTTCTGCTCATATGTAAATATTTCGTTTTCGTAAATCCAATGCCGTGCTCGGCGCTCACGCTGCCGTGAAGACTGGACACATATTCGTAAATGAACGGTTGCAGTTGTGAAGCGATCTCTGGTTCATACGACGGTATAGAAACCTGCACGTGAATATTTCCGTCCCCTGGTCAAAAAATAAACGCAGAAATAAGGCAATTCGACTTGTTATGTATTTTCCAAATGTGTTCGATTATACCTAGATGTCCATAGCCACTGATTCTGATAACGCGTGGATCACGAACTCGTTCTCTGAGAACCTCGATTACTTTGTAAAAAGATGGAACCGGTATAGAAACGTCATATTTAAAAACATATCCCTCCTTTAATATCCCTTCACTGATGTGTTCCCTCAACGCCCATATATTCTACGAAGAAGAACATTTTCTATTAAATAAGGTTCACATAAAAAATTCGCTAATCCTTTCAGAAACTAATTAAAGTCTTCAGAGAAGGTATTAAAATTCTTACTATTGGAACTTTTGGGAGAGGTTTGGTATCTATGGAAGGTTCTAGAAAAATCTCGATCACCAAATAATTTTTCAAATCAAAGAGAAGAATAAGAAATAAATGCTAACTTTAACTTTCGTAGGATCCGAAGTCAATGTTCCATCCTCGATTATGTCATCAGCGAGCGCCTTCTCCACGAAAGAAGTGAGCTTTTCCTCGTCGTGATCGACATTGCTACCGGAGGTTTCCATCAATACGTAGAACTCATGACCGTCACTTTTCGACGTCAGAGGACTCCTCAGATTGAATGCTTCGATAGAAACATCCAATGACAACTTGTCCATCATCTCGAATGAAGACAAGATCTCTCCCAACTCTTTTTTTGCTAACTGAAGTGCCTTAAGGACTTTATCGAAACTATTTAAGCCTACAATGAACGAGGTGTTCTTATACGAAAGTAATGCTTCTTCTAAGCATATCTCTAAGTAATACCTAAGAACGCGACATTGATAGCTCTAGGAAGAGACGGACATTGTATAGCGACTTTCGTAACGATCCCCAGCGTTCCCTCGGACCCGATGAAAAGGTGCTTTAGATGGTAACCTGTGTTGTTCTTCTTCAATATATTCAGGCAATCCACCACGTCCCCGTTCGCTCGTACCTGGAATAAACCGGATAAGCACTGGAGGTAGGTATATTTGGAAACAAACGCGTCGCGAGATGTCTCCGGAAACTCACAGCCTCGAGACCCAGTACGTTTCCATGAAGATTTCCATAACGAAGGAGCCTAAGACCACCGGCATTAGTTGAGACACAACCGCCGATCAGACAACTACCTTTGGCGCCCAGATCAATCGGCATCATCAAGTTCACTAACGCTAAATGATTATCCAAATCCTCGAGCACGCAGCCCGCTTCGCAGGTCAACACCCCTAATACGAACAATCGTGAGACAAAAGAACTTTGAAAGAACGTCCCGTCCGATTTTCGACCTTGCCGTATTGTTTGAGAGACAAGTCGGCTTTCCCCGCTTTCTCTCAGTTTACCGTTTTATGGTTTAACGGTACACTTTCTTAAAATCTTACTGACCTGCCAATTCATTCGTTTCGATAATTTTATTCATAAGCTTCATGGAGACAACGATCTCGTCGAAAACCGGCACGCTGCCGCCTACAAGACCTGTGTTTCCGCTTTGAGGACACACGGCCAAACGATTTTCGTTGCAATATTTCAATATAGCAGACACTTCCTCAGTGGTTTTCGGTTTCAACACAAGATTGCTTTTTCCTGCAAGTTTCAATACCACATCAACGCCTATTTATTCCACGATACTGAACAAATCGTTGATGCTTTTAAAACGAAATCGAAATTATGAAGGATTTTAAAAGATCTAAACGCAAAATCCGTAAGATCGATGAGGGAGCGTCGTCGCCTCTTACCTCGGACGATCTTCGAATAATCTATATTGTATCCCTCGCATTCCGCAGCATCTTTGATCACTCTATTTCGACCGAGCAGCTCATTGAAAAATGTCACGTTGGCATTGGTGATATTCGCATATGGACCTCTTTTTACATTGTATCTGTCCGACGTGAATGCCGGTTTCTCGGAGAAAGAGCGGAAATTCGAAACGAAGCATAGCGGACGAAACAACGCTCGCGAATTCATTTTCTGTAAAAAATATCTCGGTTCGATTGAAACTTGTCGACAAACACTGGAATACGGCTTTGTTATACTTTCTCTGATAAGACCTGTTTGCTGCGTACGCACGAATCTTTTCTGGTATCGCGTGAATTCGATACTTTCGGATGGATTCGCTTCCGAAGTTATTACTTCCGAAGCTCATTCGTAAATATGTCGGATAAGTTTAGTAACGGTGGATATTTTTCTTCACTACAAGCAAAAATTCCATAGAAATATCCGACGCGCGGATCCAACGTCGGGAGATTAATAGAAGCGTTTATCGCGTTAAATGACGATATTATCATGATAGATATTGCGATTGCATAACACAATCAAGAATTTTTAATTCTGCTATAAAGAAATTGCACGTGCTTTAAAGTTTTTGATTATCTTGATATTTATCATAGTTCGACATCTGACAGTTTTAAACAGATAACTTTAAACGTTGAATGCTACCAGTATCAGTTTATATTTATTATTTGTCTAAATTAGCACTTTATGTATGCATAGATATTACTTGACACAGAAAAGACTACGTGCTAATTCTTAAAAATGATAGTAGAGCTGTAGGTGAAGGAACAAAAGATTAAGGAAAGATACAAGAATGGGATGAAATTTCGTGAGCATCGAATGATCGTAGTGGAATGGTAAGAACCAGGCGTGGCGTAATTATGTGCCCCCGGCTGCTTCCATTTTCTAGACGCTAATTCGCCTCTGACGCCCGATCAACGGACATCGGATATTATAATCCACGATAAATCTTGACGGGCAACCCCTCCTCCGCACGTACTGCCCTCTCTCCACCCCCCTCAGTCGTTCAAAGAGGATTCGCGGCGACACGCGGTAGAATTACAATCGCAGCCGGCAGTGGGGAAAACAAGGTCAGGGGTAGAGGGGTCGAAAGAGCAAAGAAACGATGACGGAGAAAGAGGACAGATCTAACGACGGGGATGCAAATCCGTCGGGGTAAGAGGAAAGAGGAGAACGCGAATGGGAAACGGAGAAACTAACAGGAGATGGTAGTAGGAAGGCGACCAATCGTCGCGACGACTAAAACATCCTTCGCTCTCGTGTGTAAGTACGTGCGAGGTCGATTCGTATACACTCCTGGCTTATGTATGGAACGCGACACTTTCTCGCTTGACATATATATATGTCCGCGTGTCGAATGGGGTGACCAATACATGGCTACTTGTTCCACGGATACACACAAAGCGACTATACGATGCGTGAAAAGACGTCGATATATATAGATGTAAGGCATCGAATCTCAGGCCACGTACATACATACATACAGCTGCGAGGCTCTAAGGATGTACGCATGCGCGACACCGCCACGGAGCGAAGCTAATTTCTCAGTGGCGGCTCGAATCATTAACTTGTTACCTTGGCAACCCCGGTCGACCTAAACCATTGGTTGTCGCTCCCCCTCCCTTCGCGCCGCACGCTCTATCGGTCGGACGACAAACTACGGCGCGTCGCGTCGCCACGCTCCTTCCGTGGGATATCATAATTTTCCTAACCTTGCGTGAACAAGACTATAGACTGTCGGTGTTCCACTCCACGCATACTGCCGTACGATTAGATACATGACCGTGTGGCTGTGAAACATGCCACTGTAGGGACGTGGTTGCTGGGATTGGCGCGGCCACGAATCTTCCTACCCTCTGTACGAAACAACCTACCATCTCGCTCGAAAACCATGACCGGTATTAAAAAATGACCGATAAATCGAGTCCGCAAGACATATTTCATTCGATGTTTCGTGTATCGAACTGTGATAGGGTACGATTAAGGCAGGAAAATGTAATAAGATCTGTACTATCATTATGAACTGGAATTAGTTAACATTTGTTATAACATGAGGAATTGTAGAAACATATATACTAAAAAACTAATGACATCGCAATGAAATGAGAATTGATTAAACGCAATCGATATAAATCCTCTATAAATTGGAATGGAAATCTCAAAGCTGTAACTGATATTGAAACAGTCACAGCTTGGATGTCTTTGGGCAATGAACCGAGTATGAATTACAGCGAGCTTCATATGTTTCATCGAGAAATATGTTCATTATTCCTTTTACTCTGTTTTACAAAGTAAAGTTTTTTGGGATGAGTATCTTACAGAAGACTGCCAAGTGCCAATCAAAAATAAAATTACATTAAGGGGTTCTGAACAGGACAGTATGAAGCTCAGCTTAGGAACAGCTGTGCCAGGAACGTAACACATGTTCGCGATATTGGGTCGTAGGGCACCTATAATATCTTTGTATCAACGTCATTATACTTAAATAAAATTATATATGAAAAGGTAATATTCCTTCAACATTATATATTATCTTCGTTACATTATAATCTCGTCCTTGTCCTGACTTCATTCTCAACTTTAAGATTTGTCTATTTTTTTTAAATAGATATTTGAGTTCACGAGTTCAC